CGCGCCCGCCTTGCCGCCGCCCCCGCCGCCGCCGCGCCCCGCCGCGCTGGGCACGCCGTGGAAGACGCGGCAGTACAGCCCGGGGATCCAAGGGTGAGTCGGCGCGGGGGCCGCTGGCCGGGCCGCTCCGCGGGCAGCCCGTGGCCCTGCTGCGGCTTCGGGCCGGGCCATCCCGTCGCGGGTACCGCGGCTGCCAGGGCAGCGCTTGCTCCGCGCAGCAACCTGTTTGCATGCTGGAAATCCGGTCTGCGGAGCAGGTGCTCCCTCCCTCCCTGGGGTGCTGGCGGGCTGCTCACGGGTGGGGTGCCTCCGGTGCAGGCGTGTGAAGCTCTGCAGAGTGCACTAAATAGAGGCCCTGAGGCTCCCCTGGAAAGGGTGCGCATCTCCCAGGACACGTGCTGTCGCTTTCCACCCTTGGTGCAGCCCCTCGAGTTTGTAGGGCCTCTCCAGTTTTAGTACACCGCCCAGGTGATCATTTGGGCTCCAAGAAAAAAGCACCGTTCCAGTGCTGCCAGTAGGCTTGGGACAGCTCCCCAGTCCCCAGAGGTCCTGAAATTCCGGTGGGCAGCTTTAAAGCTTCGAATTACTGTGGAGAGGGGGTGTGTACCCCATAATTTTGGTTCCCAGGCCTCTGGTTGACACCAACTGTAGGCCTTGGGGTTGAAAAAAGAGTGCACTGCTAAATCGAAGTCAAGAAATACACTGAATATTGTCCCTTTAAGTACCATGCTCTCCACGGAACCTGTGGCCGGGAAAAGCCAGTTTGCACATGTGTGTTTGGTGTAGCATCTTCAATACATTTTTAGCTGGCATCTCACAGCCCATGGTATGGGTTTTCTGGAACAATCGGGGAGGGAAACCAATGCCCCAAATAGAGGATAGTTTGATTATCATGTTTGACTTAAATTTAATAAGCAAATCTAATAGAGTGATCTATGTTAATTTTACAGCCCGGTAATCATAAATATTTGAATTGAAATACTTAATGAGAGTGTGATGCTCAAAGAAATGTGAAACCTTATGTGGAAATTATATTTAGCAGGAGACTTGTAAACATTTATGCACTGTTATTATTTGTTTAAATATAGGGAAGAAGAGAGGCAGCCCAGCCACTGCCAAACAGATTTTAAGATTCTAAGAAACTATGGTATATTAGGTTTGTCCACCCAGAACTACTTACACCACATGTTACTAAAGAATGGTTTTACTGGTGAGTCCGGGAGAAGGACAAAGTACTTATCTATTAAGTGAATGTGCTGTCCAACTGGCAGATGACCTGGACAACAATAAAGTAGCAAAAACAATGCATGCAACAAAAGAAAGAGGCAGCTGCAAAATTAATAATCAGAACAACAGATTAAGGATAAAATTACTTATCTTTCCCCCGTAGCCCCTCGTTCCAGCATTGTAGGCAGTGGCGTACAAAGAAACACCTCGAAAATGGTGCTGGCACTGGGGAAGGAACGTTTGTGGAAAGTGCTCCCAGCTAGACTGTTCTTACATTATTGCAGGTTAAGACCAGCATTTCCCACATCTAATGTCTGATTCTCAGAACGCAGGATTTATCTTCCTCTGGTGACTGGGGTGCTTGCTGGCAGCGGGCTCTGTCATCGCCATGTCTCAGACCTGCGTTTTAGTTAGACAGGTGTTTTCAGCCATTTAAGTAATGCTGGGGAAGGAAGGAGGCTGGGGTGCTGATAGGAATTAGAATTTGTAGGCCCCCCAGCCTTCCCCCCACCTCCATGGTGCACTCGTATCTCAGAGAGGCAGTGAGCGGGGTTTGTTCCATGCAGGCACTTTCTCGGGGGGCTTTCTCAGCTTTTTGAGTCCCAGCACCAGGGTGGCTTTCCAAAGAATCTCAGAATCTTGATGTAGCCCATCCTCCTCAATCTCACTGTGATTGTTCATATTCCAATTGTGAATCGTCTGGATGCAGCAGCAGCCCATGAGAACAATCGCTTGCGGCCACCATCCTCCTCACTCCCAAGAGCTGCACGCCTCTCAGCTTCACAATGTACCATGAAACTCCTCAGCTTCTTGTGCTTGATTCTCTGGAAGCACAGAAACAGAATCAGGTTTATTCATTTGTTAGCGCATTCTACTTTTCGGCTTAATTGAGCTGAAATCATTTTAGTTCCATTCAGAAGAACCTGCTGCTGGTGGAATGCTTGGATCTCTGAACATTGCCCTTTCCACCAAGAGAGAAGATACCCTGGCCAGCTCCTACAGAGCTATTGTAAGGCTTGGAGGCAGGTGTGTGCAAAGTTTGGCTGGCTTTGTCACGCAACCAGAAGTGTGTGGTTGCCAGGACCATCCTATAATCTATCTGTGAATGATAACGAGATTGAGACAGTCTCTGCTGCCCTAGCATGAATTGACCCATGAATTGCAAAAAATTTAACAGGAGCAGGCGGGCTTCTTCTGACATGCCTTTCCGCTTGTTAACAGCCTGTAGTCATCTGGTTTGCAGATAGTTCGCTTGACCTCTGATTCCAGGCACTTTGGGTTGTTTATTGGTTAAACAACCTAGGGTTCACCCAGCAACAACAATGTTGGGGAAGACTATCTTAAGAACCCTTAAGCAATTTCGGCCTATTTTAACAGCTCTGTTTTATTCCCTTCTGGTTACAATCCCTTGTGATAAAAGTCCTTCCTTTTGAGAGGCTGTCTGCAATGGTATCGACAGCATAGGACCTGCTGAGGTTTTTTTTTTTTTTAGACATAGAGGGTTTATTTGGGGGACATGGGGTAATGTTTTTGTAGTGGAAGCAGCGTTTTTTATAATGATGAGATCTAATTGGGAACTCTGTTCAGCACTGTGCTGGTGAGTTCCATTGACTGAAGCCTCAAAGTTTGTTGTTTTTAAAGAAACCTAGGTGGAAATAACCCAAGCTGTCAAAAAATGCACAGTTCATAGTCTATGCCATTTTATTTTTATATATTTATGTTTCAACTTATTGCCTGCTACATCAGCCTCTGAGCAGATACTGTGACTCCAGTCATGTTGATAAATGGAGAATTACTTCCAGCATCTGTAGATGTTAGTCACTAAGAGATACATTAGATCAGCAATTTGGTAAGGAATTGGTGGTGGGAAAATTTGGTTTGGTTTTATTTATTGTTGTAAGCCTCCCCGAGGCTTCGGCGAATGGGGCGGCATAAAAATGTTTTAATAAATAAATAAAATAAATAAAAAATGCTGCTGGGAATCTTACAGAGAGAACTTAAACCCCCTCTCCCCCATGGCTTCAGCTTCCTTAAAAGTATATGGTATTCTATAGGTAGGCTTTATAAATAATTTTTGGAGAGTAAAGGATGGATTGCAGTATATGAATACCTTGTCTGAAATTCTGAAAATTATTTAATAATCAAAATTCAATTTTTCAGGAGGATTTTTTTAAAAAATGCTATCATTTCTGTTCTCTGGTGCAGGATTTCACATCACTAATATAGTTAATCTATTAACCCTAAACTGTGCTCATATACTTCAAGAGAAAAAATCGCTTATGGAAAGCCAAATATGCGTCCCATAGGATCCAGGTGGGAGGGATCTTTATTCTTCTGTGTGAGGGCTATAAAGGAAAGCTCGGTTTGTGACTTGCGACCTTTCAGTTGTTACATCTTTAGTAAAGTGTGTGTTCGACGTGTGACCCAGCTGCTAGAACGCTTTGCTTCTGAAAACCAGATTCAGTTCCCAGGTTGGCAAATATATTGAGGTTTTCTTGCATCCTCTCGCTCACCGTGCTGGTCTTTGTATTTTCCCCACAGACTTCATGAAGAAATAATTGACTTTTATGACTTCATGTCCCCTCGGCCCGAAGAAGCAATTATGAGAAAAGAAGTGGTGAAAAGAATAGAGACTGTCATCAAAGATCTTTGGCCTACCGCTGATGTGAGTGAGTCGCAAACCGGTGTTCGGCTTAGTTCTGATGCCGTACCTCTGCTGCTATGTTTCTCCCTTTGTACCTTTTGGCTCGAGCCGCAAGACATGGAGGGAACTGGATTTCCGCCTCAGCAGTTTCCGACTGGCAGCTCCATGCATTCCTTCATGCCTTCTGGCCGTATTTGTTTGAAATAATATGTATGCTGCTCTCTCTTAATGTTCTGGAGGCCACCTCCCCCAAAAAAAACAAACCATGAAAATGTTTTCACTGAGAACATTTAGGAAAATTGATTGGGGACCTTCAGAACACGTAGTCATACCTATTCAAACACGCATTTTATGGTAGTGGAAGGACAGCTGTGCCCCAAGTTGCGGTTCTTTTAGTTGTCTTGGTGCCTTCCCTTAGCCGAGGAAAGGGGAACAGTGGAGATCTGCATCCGTCAGCGCTCAACGTACGTACCTTCTAGGGAAACATAGCCCGTTCATTCTGAACACATGTTGCCTCAGTGCAAAGCAATAAACATCTCATGTACAGCCAGCAGAGAGCACTGGCCAGAGGGTAGAACAAGGAATCCTGGGAGTTTGTTTGCTTGTTTTCCTCTAGCAACAGTGTTTTTAGTTACTTGAATGCAAGGATGTTTATTTTTTAAGCACAGGAGACTGGTAACTGTTTGCTACAGTTAATAAAATACTGTTTTCATCCTATTGAAAATGTTTGGGAAGTAAGTATCAGCTCAATAGCTCAGTGTGATAAATAAGCTTTATCTTTAACTGCTTTATCCTTGAAGTTAAATGAGGGGAGTTGCATTAAGGTTTTCGCTGTCTGCACATACTTACCTGCCTTGTTTAAGGCTTATTCGGTCCCTGGTTGTTCAGCAAGATTAAACAGTTCAGTTCATGCTGAAATCACAGCTTTCCTAGCCAGATGTAATAGTTTCTTTTGAAGGCTATCCCAGTGAGAAAGGCTGAAGCTACCCTTGCTGTGTGTTTCCTTTTCAGAAATGTGTTTGGTTTTGATAATGGGTAGAGGTGGAGGGGTCTGCTATAAACCGTTGCATGATACTGGTGAATGGTTTGGAGGGTTAGTAGTGTGTCACTTCGCACTCCCCTAATTGGCCATGGCAGCTGAATCAGACAAACCATGGCTAGAATAAACCAAGAGAGAGAGAGGGAACTTACCCAAGAAGAAAGGGGAGAGAGAGCGAGCGAGCGCCTTTGGGTAGCTGAATCTCTGAAGAAAACAATTTGATTAAACTTTTAGACTTCAGCAAATGTTTTTGTGTACATTTCTAGATGTAAGGCAATGCAGATTTCCCAAGATTTCCCAGGTCAGCATTTACAACAGTGAGTTCAGTACTTACTCGCTTTCTCTTTTCCAGGTTCAGATATTTGGAAGTTTTAGTACAGGACTTTATCTGCCAACCAGGTGAGGCCTGAAATTTGACTGGCATTTTTACCTTTTGTATTCTATGTTGGTGAAGCTGCATTATAAGAGGCTTCTGCTGTCACTGCTAGTGTCATCCATATACACAATTATTTTCCAAAAAAAGAAAACGGGAGGACAAAAAACGAAGCGGACACAAGGGAAACAGAGGAAAGGTGGTGAGGGGTGACGCAGGGGTACATCACAACTATTTCTCTCTGGGTTGAACTGTAAATAGAGAGTCCAGTTGTGTTCTTTTCCATTGGATTAAACATTGTAAATAGCGAGAGTCCAGCATTTAGCGTATTGGAGTATTGCACCACTAGGTATGCTGGTATTTCTACATTTTGTAATTTGCAGGTTTTCACTAGTGATGCAAATAGTAAAACCTTAAGTATTTGTGTAAATGTGTAAAGAAAGTTGTGGCGATCTAGAAGGTATTTGTAAACAATTAGCTTTATTTAAAATTAAACAAATTTCTAAATAGTCCAGCAAATACCTTTACACAGTATTCTGGGCAGAGACTTTGATGAAATAACATTGGGTGTGGAGCATTAAGATGGCCCTTAAATTCTGCCAGTGGAGACAGTTAGTGCTAACATGTATTCCACTGAACTTAAGTCTTCCTTTAAGAATGCTAAACATTCATTCATTCATTCATTCGGCTTGCATTCCGCACTGTTAGTCCCATAGGACTCCTTAGGCAGACACATACCAATATGTGGGGATGTAAATATGTACTTGATTTGTTCTGACTTCAGTGGGGCATAACTGTTGTGTTCCCAATAAACCTTGCATTTGTTTCTGTTGCCTACAGTGATATCGATTTAGTGGTTTTTGGGAAATGGGAGAGCCCCCCTTTGCAGCAGCTGGAGCAAGCCCTGCGGAAACACAACGTGGCTGAGCCATATTCCATTAAAGTGCTTGACAAAGCGACGGTGAGTGACTGGAGCACTTTTGCCTGATTCGGAGGAAGGGAGGTTTCTGACAGGGAAATTGTATTTTAAAGTTTTAACAATGCGGCCTTTTGTTTGCTGCTGAATCTCAGTTCTCAGGTTCCCGACAGTCATGCTTTGTGTCAAATTATAGCGGTAACATGCACGCCCTCGTCTCAATTCATGGAATAAATGTATTTTCCCTCATATTGGTATGCCTTCCCTCCTATTGCTAGATATGCAGTATTGTTCTCCATGTTTTTCATTTGTAAAAGAATGCAGACGTAGCTGACGAATACACTGGCAGTTAATGAAAGTTATGGTAGCCCTCAGGATACAGCATCCATTTTGCTACCTCTGATGTGTGAGAAATGTCATGCTTGGAGCTCAGCTTGGCTCAGCCGGCTCACACGTTTTGTTTGAACATTGCATCAGGTATCCATCTGGCCGTCAAAGTTCTGAATGTGCTCCTGATTTTTTTTTCCAGCACGGTGGGACACCCCCATTAAAATCTTTATTTGTAGCACCTCCAAACAGCTCTCATTTTCCTAACCATTCTTTTGTAATTCCCATCTTTCATATCTCCCTAAGCATCTGGCTTGCCTTTTTTGGAGACTTGCCTTTCATCATCTCCACCATTCCATTCTTTAACAATTCCCAAAGTTGCACTTTATTGCTGGTTAACAATTTGCATTGTTCATAAATATGTTCTCTCTAGTTGCTTGTAGTTTTTAGATTCTCAGTTGATCCCATCTTATCCTAGTTAACATCAGCTCCAAATTAGCTCACCCCATTACAGTTCAAACCATTTGGAATATAAATCTGTCTTCATAAAAATGCCTAAGAAGTTTCTATTTGTTAACACTCAGACTTACTTCTCAGGCACATAAGTCATAGCAATCAGTGTGTGTAACCTAGATTTTCTTGATATCATCTCAAGGATCTTGTGATCCTGGTTACACTACTCACTTTGCAGTCTATTTTCCTTTTAAAACAAAGTTCTTCAGTTTGCATCCTGACAGTATCACTGACAAATGGTTTTGCACTTTGTTTGTCGCCAGATTTTCTAGCACTGACATCTAAAAATTCCTCTTGGCACATGTTCGGCTGTCTTTAGCTTGTGAATCATGGCCTCTGATGAGGATTTATTTTACCAGAGTGTGTTACTGAATACCATCCAGTTTACAGACTCGGTTTGTTTTAATTGTACCTTTGAGGGTTTGGATCTTTCTTTCTTCTAAGCCAAAGTTCAGTCTTTCCCAGGTTCAGGAATTAATAGGACACATTCTCCTCTTGCTTTAAATCTCCGGTTTGACCAGCTTCATGAGTTCAAAGGTTCAACCAGTTACTTGAACTCCCAGTAAACAGGCACATGTGCTGTTTTTAGAATCTTGCGTTGCTGTAGGGAGCTTGACACCTAACTCTGAAACGCAGTTGGAAACAAGTCCTGTTGAGATGAGTGGCCCTGACCAGTACCAGATCCCAGGCGACGGGTTCCATGTCCAAAATGCCAAATCTTAGGTCTTACTTTTAAGCACATGGTCTTATTAGGTACTTCCCACAGTGCTTTGCTTTGTTCCTCCATTTATATTGGGCATGGGGCCTAAAAGACAATTAGAATTCACAGGAAGTCTCACATCCCAGGGAGAGAAGCCAGTGCCTGGACCCCTGCTTGCTACATCTCTGTTAGGGGTGAAACACACCCTGCTGAAGGACCTGAGTCTCAGACCATTCGGGAGGAAGTGGTCCATCCAACAAACAAGTCCCACGCCAGTACTAATAACCAGCCCTTAGAATTGGTCTCAGTAATGAACCAGTGGCTTGTGCAAATGGAAACTTGGGGCCAGTCACTCAGCCTAACCTACCTCTCAGGGTGGTTGTTAGGATAAAATAGAGCTAAGCAGCTCGCTTTGGGTTTCCTACAAGAGGAAAAAGGAGTATAAATGCAGTGTAAGAATAAGAATTGCCATGTACAGCATGTTGGAGTAATCACGATTTAAGCAAAGAGTAGGTGCATACTGTCTTAAGCTGGGCAGAAACGTGCCCAGTGGGTCAAAACAGGCACTGGTGCAGGAAAGGGAGGAAGGTGCCGCTACACGTGTGGGTAGAGCAAGGAATGGGCTGCTACACCAAGCGCTTGATCGAGAATGACGTGGCAGCAAACGTATTCCTTGTTCATTGATCGACTACCGAGAAACGTGGGGGTACTTTTCAGGGTTAGTTGAAGCCCAAGTTTGACTTCTTTTGCAGGTACCAATAATAAAGCTTACTGACCAGGAAACGGAAGTGAAAGTTGACATCAGTTTTAATGTGGAAACCGGCGTGAAGGCAGCTCAGTTTATCAAAGACTACATGAAGGTACAGTCAACGACCGCCGAAAATGCCACGTGAGGCACCCTGATTTTGCTGGTGCTTTTAGACCTCCTGTAGTAAAGGTGTAACTGGCAGAAAATTCTAGCATGCACCCGTGTGTTAAATGCAGTTTTGAGCAGCCTTTGCTGAATTAGAAAAATACCTCATGGTCCTGGGAACAAATCCACAGGGCGCTACTGGGATCTTCCCCAGTATCTGATCACACCATTCCTAGCAGTTTTGGCTACATGCATCAAAATAGAACAGTCCATCTGGGCCCAAACCTGGAAGACATTAAGTGTTATTCTACATCTTTTTGTCAGATGTTGTGGTCAGGTACTTCATCCGCCCCATCATACAGTTAGTTTCCTTCATATTCCGGAATGTAGATAAATTCTGAGTCTTTATTCCCATTAGCACCCAATCGATACAGAAATCCTGAATATTGTCCGATTGTCCCTCTCTGTCCAGCTGCCTCATGACCAGGCATGCCCATTGTGGGAAATGTGGTGTGTCTGCCTCAGCCCTGACCAAGCCAAACCAAAGCTGTGAATTACTCTATAGAGATGCAGACGTAGCCCAGTGAGAAGCAGTTGCCGCTCCGTAGGAGTTGCTCTGTGTATCCCGTATGTTTCACTCACATTTGTTTTTCCTTTCTATATTTTCATGTGGGAGGAGATGTCACTGATGAGAGAATCTCATTGAATGTCGGTATTCAACTTGAAATCACGTTCCCTTTCAGGCAGCCCTCTAGAACAAGGAATCTAGGATTGAACAAATTCATACATGGTCACTTTTCGAAACGTTTTATTTTTATTTTGCCACTTAGTTATTCCATTTAGAGAATATCCCCTGAAAGACTTGACAGTGAGCTTGATTGTGTCTTGACTTTCTGGCTTTCTGTGATGAAGATCAAACAGTAATCTTTGTATTCCTTTTAGTAAAATAGTAAAAATTATTATGTATGTTTATACTGTTGTTTCATTTGCCTTAATAATTATTATATTTCGGGTCTGTGAATGTTCTCATTTTTTGATGTTAACAGTTAATGATATTTTATAATATAATACAGGTAATGTCACATATTACATTATATATCACAATGTATAATTTATATATAAAATGTAACCTATATTAGAATAAATATATATTAAATAATATAACATGTTTTTAAGTAATAAATGAAAAGATAAGGAAGGAATGTTAGCTTGCTCACACAACCATCTTCCTGTTAGCTATTGTGCGACCAAACTGTATTGACTTTTACATTTTGTTTTATTCTGAATTATTTTATGTTTCATAATAAATATGAAGCAAAATGTTTTTCTTCCAGAATTTGGCATGTAGAAAGCTAACTCTCTTTCACTTGCAGAAATACTCGTTGCTGCCTTACTTGATTTTAGTATTAAAACAGTTCCTCCTTCAAAGGGATTTGAATGAAGTTTTTACTGGTGGAATAAGCTCCTACAGCCTAATTTTAATGGCAATTAGCTTCTTACAGGTATGTAACTTGCTCTTTCTGTCAACTCTGAGGGACACAAGCGATTCCTGTTTGCCTATGTATGCATGGTTATTTCACTGAAAGGTCTTTTTTATCAACTGCAGTTCTCCCTTAATCTCTAGTCCTGCAGGGGCACTGTTTTGGAAAGCTAAACAAGAGCATGTGAAAATGGGATCCAGGTAGTCAAATCACTATGTCGGACAGGCTGAGAAGTAAAACTGCACGGCCTGTACTTTCTTTGATGATTTCCTGTGGTATACTACTCTGTGGAGGGTCTCCTTTTTCTTGAAAAGCTGATCTTTCAGTTGCACCTCCAGAATGAGTGGGTTTGTATGATGTGGCAACCCACCCTGTGATTAATCTACAAACTGCCTGCTTAACCCTGTCAAGATCTTTTGCTTGAGCAAAACCCCTTTCTTCTGACAGCTGTCAAAATTCAGAAAAACTTTAAAAGAGGGTGTTGTGGATCTTACCTTCCCAGAATGCTCAAAGATGTGTAGGAAAATGTGCGGACAATGAGAACTTTCAGGCAATAATAAAAACATTGTTTGGGGGAAATAGACGCACCATCCCCTTTCATGAGTGAAGATCTCCTTGCAGCTTGGTTTTTCTCTTGGCTGCCTTCCATTTGACAGCTGTCACACGAAAAGTCAAGCAGCAGATTAACATGTTTGCAGTCTTGCTTTGTCAAGGTCCATGGATATCGCTAGACACTTACCAGGACATTGACCAGGCAGGACTTGCATTCTGAGGACTTTGTGCACCTTTGAAAGATCCACCAAACAAATTTGTTAAAAGGCGTGAAAACATTTGCCCGTATTTTCTGGTTGTCACAAGACCGTATTTTTCCATCTATAAGATGCCCCCATGTATAGAACACATCCCCCCACTTTTCTTACCCAAAATTCAGAAATCAGTATTTAAAACACTGAATAGAAGACATCTTTATTTAGCAATTAGGCAACGTTGACATGCCAGTGTTGTGATCTTATGCGTCACATGTAGCTCTGAGCAAATCCCTTTGTTCAGCCTCTGCTGTATCGCCGGTTTCGCCTTCATCCCTTTAGGCTTGGGTGACACCCAGGAGCCACTCTGGCGCTGCTCCAGAGTCCATGCCTTAACCCTCTGCTCCAAGTGCGGCCATTTTGCTGGTTTTCCTCTCAAGACCGCCTCCTTTTTTGGCATCTTAAGGAGTTGTTCTTCCTGTTTTCTCCACTGTCTGATGATACACTCAGTGGGAGGAGGTCCAAACTGTCTCTCTGCAGCTCTATTTCCATGCTCTTTTGCATAGCTGATTACATCTAGTTTAAATTTTGCAAAGTAAGACATTCACTTACTAGTATCGGTATTTTTCTTTTGTTTTCTGACATTTTTATGGGCTCATAACGCTCCGACATGACAACTCCCTGATGCCTCTGGGCACTGGCAACACGCCCTCCGCAGCCTCAGCCGACGTCAGTTACATGATCAGAGGAAACCTGTTAGCTTGTCTCTGCAATCAGAAGCTTCGCTCGTGAGGCTAGTTTGCAGAGAAAAGGTATCGGCAGTTTTGCAAACTCGCCCCCCCCCCCGTTTATAAGATGCCCCTCCATTTTTAGGTAAATATTTTTAAGAAAAAGTATCATATGTGGAAAAATACGGTAATCAGGTCAAGTTGAGGGAACCCAGATTCATGCTGGACATCAAGAAAAGCTTTCTCATGATCAGAGCGATACGGCAGTGGAAGCAGCTGCCTAGAGAGGTGGGGGGCTCTCCCACACTGGAGACATTCAAGAAGAAACTGGACAGCCCTCTGAGTGGGGTGGTGTAACGTGGTGTCCTGCAACTGCAGGGGGTTGGACTCAATGGCCTTCATGGACCCTTGCAACTCTACAGTTCTGTAATTTCCATCACATCTGTCACGTAAACATTTTAAAAGCTGGTGAGCCAGCGATGGTTGTTGATGGGTGGCCAGGGCACTTTGGCAAACCCTTGATTTGGAGGCATCGCCAAAAGGGTCCAGAAGAGACCCAAGTGGGGTATGCGGTTACAAATGAAACGGTCTCAAGATCCGAGCAGGGAGAGGGTAATGCGAGAAGATACTGAGGAGTATAAGTCTGGTGTAGTTGGGGGTTGTTGTCGCCCATTTCTGTCTCTTATTATGGATCTGCTACAAATATAAATGGCCTCTCAAATTAAAAAGCCCTTCTGCTCTCGTGTTTTTATAGTTGCACCCAAGAATCGACGCTAGGAGGCTGGATGAAAACCTCGGAATGCTTCTAATAGAATTTTTTGAACTCTATGGGAGAAATTTTAATTATTTGAAAACTGGGATTAGAATAAAAAACGGTGGAGCCTATATTGCCAAAGAAGAAATCATGAGAGCCATGACAAATGGATATCGGCCGTCCATGTTATGCATTGAGGATCCTCTTCTGCCTGGTGAGATGACATAAAACATTTTCTATCCTTTCCAAAAAGAACGTGCATTTAGTCAAGCAATCCAAGCCTTGCTTCACATAACTGCTCACCGAGAAGTAGTCCCTTAATTCACCCGTTTCTAATCAAGATTTTGTATGGTATTCTTTCTCGTGGCTCTATGATGGACTCAGTAACATCTAGCAGGGGTAGTAAAACGGAGTCCATTGGTGTGTTTGAAGTTGTGCTACTTCATATGCCTGAGAATGTGAAAAATATGATGCAGTAGCCTCTGAGATCAGAATTCATCTGGATGCTGTTAGTTGTCCAGAGACATTAGCAATTGGACGGCATAAAAAAAATAATTTAAAAAAAATCCCCAAATTTCTGTGCATTTCCATATTTCCCAGCCCTTCAGAGCCAGCCACTTTTGTCAATATTTATTTAATTTTTATACTGCCCAGTAGCCAAGACTCCCTGGCCAGCTAACAAAAGTTTAACACACACACATGTACGTACATACGTTAATATAAAACCGCAAAGCCACAATAGCAATTGCAATTGAGTTTGCAGAGGAGCATAGCTGCAGTCCAAAATAAAATACAAATATGTAAAATGCATTTAAAAAGTCAAACTGTTAAAATGCTGGAGAAATAGAAAGCTCTTCACCTGGTGCCAAAAAGAATGCGAAGCAGGTGCCAGGCATACCTCTCCGGGGAGCTCATTCCACAGCTGGGGTGCCACAGACAAAAGCCCTCCCCTGGGTAGCCACCCGCCTCACTTCCTTTGAAAGGGAAGGATCCCCGAAGATGAGCGCAGGGTCCAGGTAAGTACGCATGGGATGAGGCGATCCTTCAGGCAACCTGGCCCCAACCCGTTGAGGGCTTTGAATGTTAGTACCGGCACTTTGAATTGGGCCTGGAATTCAGCTGGCATCAAGGGGACTGGCATCATGCGTTTCTGTGAGCCCGATCCCGTTCACAGTCTTGCTGCCCTGGTGTGGACCAGTTGAAGCTTCTGGACCTTGCTCAAAGGCAGCCCCACATCCAGGGCATCGCCGTCATCCAAATGAGAGACTCCCGAAGCACGGATAGCTGCGGCTGTGCTGCCCGCCCAGGAACGGCTGTAGTTGGTGTACCAGCTTAAGCGGATAAAAGGTGTTCCGTGCCCCCAAGTCCACTCGTGCCTCAAGGGGCAAATCTGGGTCCAGGAGTATCCCCAAATCTCGTCCTTGAGCGGGAGCGTAGCCCCATCCAGAGCAGGTTGAATATCACCCCATTGACCAGATAAACCACTCGCTCACGTCCGGATGGAGCCGGTTCTTGTCTCGTCCAGTGTATTGCCATGCTCAGTCGTGCTCAGATTTAGGTCTGATTTCAGATGAAAAAGAGAGGTCGAGCTGAGTGTTATCCACGTATTGATAGTCGTTCAGCCCACACCTCCAGATAACCTCCCCCAGCAGTTGCGCAGAGATGTTAGATGGCATAGGGGAGGAACTAGAACCCTGTGGCACGCGATACCCCAGCACCACCCTCTGGAATTGCCCAGTCAGGTTGGAGCAGCACCGCTAAACTGCATTGTCTCCTACTCTTGGCCTAGCCAGCCTGTCCAGAAGGAAACAATGGGCGGTACTGTCAGAAGCTGCTGAGAGGTCCAGGAGAATCCACAGAGTTGCGCTCCCCCGTCTTTCTCCCGACAAAGGTCATCCTCGGGCGCCCGAGGCAGTGTCCCTTCCGAAACTGGGCTTGGGGCCTCTTTGAAATGGATCTAACTGGTTTCCCTCAGGAGAGCTTGGAGCTGCCTGGCCACCACCTGCTCGAGCCCAGGGAGGGGTCGCTGGCCACCAGCCGGTCATTAACTCATGCGTCTAGAACACTGCAGGCCAGCAGCTCCCCCACACAAATACCGCTTTTGGTTTGCTCCATGCCTAAAAGGGAGCTTGGAGTTTGGCTCTTCCCTGAGCAGCCAGTACAGCTGCGCAGGAGTTGAGAAAGGAAAAGCCCCATTAAGGGGTGGCAGGCAGGGCCGGGGCAGATAAAGGCATGTCAGCAGCTGAAGCGGTTGGCCATGAATGTAGTGTGAGCTGAGGCGAGCTGCCGCAGAGACGCCTTTTGGTGAAGGTGGGGGTTCAAGTCCAGTCAAGTCAGGGCAGAGCCAGAACAACGTGACTGAGGATCATTCGCCTTTTAGATAAAGGCAAGCAGTACATGGAAAAACGAAGGCCTGGGGATACAGCGAACAGTGACATTTCAACGAAGAGCCCCTTTCAGAGGCAGGCGTGTCAAATGCAGGCGTGTCGCCTGTGTTAGTTGGAAGCATAATCTCGCCCAACGGCAGGCAGCTTGCAAAGGCCAAGTACGAAGCGCAAGAAGTGTCCACGCGTGCCGGGATTTTAAGCATTAAAGGTACGGGCCAAGGCACTGCAGGCTACGAAGTACGCGATCAGTGAAGTGAGTGCCAACATTTTGCAAATTTCATCATTACAGGCAACGATGTTGGAAGAAGTTGTTACGGTGCCATGCAGGTAAAGCAAGTTTTTGATTACGCCTACATTGTTCTGAGCCATGCAGTATCGCCGCTTGCAAGATCCTACCCCAACAGAGATACAGAAAGGTAAGCAGATTGACAGGTATTAATTGCCAGTGTGGTGGAGTGGCCAAGAGCGCGGGACTGGGACTCGGGCAGTCCGGGTTTGGTGCCCCGCTCAGCCGTGGGACTCACTCCGTGGCTTTGGGCCAGTCCCAGACTCTCAGCCCATCTGATAGCCGTCCAGGGTGGTTAGTGTGAGGATAAGATGGAGAGCAGGAGGAGAGTGATGTAAGCCAACTCGAGTTTCCTGAAAAGGGGGAAAAGCGGGATAATAGGTAGGTAGGTAGGTAGGTAGGTAGGTAGAGTGAGCACATTTCTGTAAACCCAACTTTATTTTTATGTATCACATTTCTTTTTAACCCCATAGCCAGAGTCAAACTTACACGATGTTCCCCTTAATTGCTTCCATAATGCATAATGTCTTGATATCATAGCCAAAGGACTGACCCTGACCCTGAACCCCGCTGCATCGGGCCATCCCTGGGCAGTCTCTAGCATGCTGTTCTTTCGTGAGGTGCTGGAATGAGTGACGGCAGAGAAGCTCTCGGGGTTTTCTGGAAGAGGCAGCTGTTCCAGATTCATTTCAGTCAGGCTTCAGACCTGGTTATGGGACAGACCGCTCTGGGGTGGCAGGATAGGATCCCACAGTACCTCTCCGATTCCATCTTGCCTGCCTTCCCATTTCACATGTACATGAACCTGTGGAGAGAGGTCGTCGGACATCTTGGAGTTAGTGTGCTGCTCTGCCTCTCCTTTCCCCCTAAATCAAAGTAAGCTAAACCAGTAATGGACTGGATGGGGGCTCATAAGCTGAGGCTTTAGGCAAAGGTAACATTTGTGGTGCAGTCTGTGGGGTGCTGCGAACGCTCCAGACTCAAGTGATTATGGGTATCTTGGGCAGGGCAGGAGGCACACAGAGATGGAGGTCTCCTCTTTGAAGTCCCTTCCCTGCAGAGCAGCTCATCAGCAGCGAAATGGCTGATTCAGCTGTCTTTGGGGCCGAGCATCCAAGCATTGCGTTTATTTATCTGTTGGTTTAGACCATCACTGTCCCCTTTGATTAGCATAAAGCTCTCCAAAGGGTTTAGTGCAGGAGGGAAGAAGGCTGAAGTGGCACCAGGATATCGCGTACCTTGTCAACACTGGTCCCTTCCTCCCCTCCCCCACGCACGGCCTGCCTCTGAGCCTCTTCTCCAGGGTCCCTGTTGAGACCGTGGAGAAGCTGCTGGCCGAGTTGATTCCATGCCAGCCCCAGGTGGAAGAGGGCGCTGCCAGAGAACGGTCCCAGCTCCAGCATCAGGGCTACTCTTCAGCACTGAACAATCCGTGATCCTGTCCGTGCCTCCCGGGGGCGATAGGGGCACTCTGTCCATTGTGCAGAAGGCAGGCCCGGGAATAGGTACTTGTCGCATGGTGGAAGGGGGCCCTTCCCCCGAAGGCCCGGGTTGGGCGCCCGTGTGCAGCGCCCCGGTTTGGCTGGTGGCCAGGAGGGCCTTTGCACAGCCGAGTCTGGCATGCCAACGGTACTCTCTCCTGCTTTACATTTGAATTCCCTTGGGAGCTTGTACCACCTCACTTTGGAAAGGAGCAGCGGTTATCCAGGTTGAAGCCGCTGCTGAACGCGTGCCGGCCCTTTTGCTTCTCTAAAACAGCTTTCTTGTATCCATAAATGAGTGTACTCCATTTCTTACATAAGTCATCCTGTCTTCCAGCACTTTAGGAAGAATAATAAAAGTGACACAGGAAGTGATTGATTACAGAGCTTGGATTAAGAAGAAATGGGGAAGTAACACCAACTTGTCTTCTGATCTTGGTGAGTAAAGGAGTTGATTTCAGAATTCCACTCTTAAATATGTAGCATATATTTGAACAAATTCTCTTGTTTTTCTTACACGATGACTCAACTCAGATATAGTCCCAACTGCAGTTTACGGTTCATGTCTATTTTTTCTGTCTGCTCGGAATACACGTCTTGAGCTTCTCTTGTGGAGACAAGGTACAGAGCAAGAATTGTTGTTTCCGTTGTGCTGATTCGAACATCGTGCTGGTCCGCAGTGACGCTCAGGTTTCAGTTTCCAGTTCTGGCTCGTCCGCTGTTCACAATCATGATTTGTCAGTTCAGCCATCTCACCTAACCCTGGTTTCTTGTGATGTCTGAATTGAGCCGATGAGCCATTCCTAAATGGAGTCTTGCAGCAAAACATACAATGGTGAAGTTCCTTGCCTAAAACGGAGGAGCTTTGCAGGGTTTTGATAGCGAAAAGTGATGCATTTTCTCTGCTTCCAGATATCCAGACAAAAGAGAGAGAACCAATATCTCCATGCAGTGTAATCCAGAATGGAGATGCTGAACTGCTGTACCACCAACCTTTAGCTTTGTCGTTTGCTGGTACACAGCAGTTGTCTTCGGGCTCCTCTGCCTCTTCAGTGTCGTCTCTTTCTGGCAGTGATATTGTAAGTCCCACTTTAGTTCCTTCCAAGCTGTTTTTTTAATCATTTGTCAATTGGTTTAGTGTAATTCAGAATCGGTACAAAGATTCCAAATTGCCATAGCACTTCTGTGGTGTTCACATAATTCAAACTAACTTCAGTTGAAGCGTTTTTCATTTGCACAAGCTTTCTCTAAAATGTTGTAATTTTAAATAGAATATCTTTAGGAAACATGAAATGCCTCTGTATCACCCTTAGTAACATCACTTACTTTTCCAGCTCACTTAATCCTCTAGCACTTAAATGAAAAAGCATTGTAAAGCTAATTAAAAAATGAACTAAATACCCTGGGGCCTTGCTAATCCTCTGGCATTTTAGATCATGTTTAGCCTTAGAAAGCTTTAACTTTTCAAAACATTTGGATGTGTTCTGAAAGAAATTGCTCAACTGTAGTTAACTGAACACTTCAAAACAAATGCAATAATAGCTTTTTCTAAAAAAGAGAGAGACAGAGAAATTACAAAACAAAGACAAAAAGGGGCTTAAGTGAATTGTAGATGGCTTTACTCTTAAAGGCAGCCTAAATAATTATTTATAGACAGAGTTGTGTCTTCCTGCCACAATACGCCCATTGGTCCAGATGGGACATTGCAGCTTGTCTGTGTCCCCAGAATTGCTAGTTGATTTGAGGTCCATCAAAATTCTTCTTGGAAGAGCAATGACTGGGAAGCGCTGAGAGGTGCATGCCTCCAAGCCCTTGTTAGGCTGATGAATTTTCATGGTGTACGACTGCAAGGCACGGAAGCAGAGACGGTTCTTTCTAGCAGCCTGCTTGGATCCTGATCCTGGTCCAAAGCAGTTTTTTTGGCAGAGGTTCAGTGCCGAATCCCCCTGCTTCAAGTGCCTCCCCTCCCACTCGCCTAGCTTAGCCCCGTTCGGACACTATTATTATCGGACACTATAATTAAGACCCCCTTTATACAGCAGAAATCAATGCGTTGTGGAGTTGGGCAAGGCTCCCTGTTCTGAAGGAAGTACTGCATGGCCTGGAATGGCTGGATTATATCCAAGCCCTTCCCAAGGCTGGGAAGGACCCACGGCTTTTGGGAGCAGACTTCACGTCTTAAGATCCTGCTAGGACTGGAAGGCAATGTTCTGATCCAGTATTTTTGATACCTGCATGTCGGTCCGTGTGTGTAGCTCCGTTCCAATGAGTAGTCCATGTGTGTTTCTTTTCTTAAAAAAAGCAGCACAAAACAAAGATACCATCAAACCTTCCATTCCCCTTTTCTGTGTCACAAGGATTCAGATACTCCACCTTGTACAACTCCTAACGTGTACCACTTCAACCCGCAAACCCCATCTCAGCTTTCAGCTGGTTCGCCACCAGTGCTGCCTGTGCCACGCGAGAAAGCTCAGCCCGTACCTGCAAGAACATTGATTATGGCTACGAATAATCAGGTACGTGCTGTGTGACGGAAGCTGTCCCTTAACTGGATCGTGGCCTTGGAGGAGGAGCGGCCTGCGTGGTGGTAGGGCTTGCGAGAAGCATTTCTCCCCTTCCAAGACACCGCACCACCAGCCGTGCAACGAGCCATCTTAACATATAAAAAGCAACCAGAAGACTTCCCAGGAAAGTAGTTGACGGTAAATGTTAAGGCAGGGGCTTGGTGCTGTCCTTGCCTGCCCCTGCATCCTGGAGTCTTCGCAGCCGGTCGTCGATGGGCGCCGCCCCGGAGGGTGGGAAGTCAAGTTGACGTAAACACCCCCTCCCACTGGGGTCCTTCTCACGCGGCAGTGTAGAGTCATGTGCCACCCTTAGGACGCGATCCCAGGCCTGTTGTGCCTGGGAAAAGCTCCACCGCTCTTACGCCCCAGTTGTTTCTCTGTCCGCACACGCATGGCAGTGCACCCTAGATCAGGAAATGCTTCTGATCGGAATTTTCTGGAAGCGTTTTGCTCCAGTCTTAGCCTCCGAGGGCAGAGTGTCTTTTTCACACCCGTAGGAATGTGTGTCAGGACACCGCTCGCAGGAGTTGGTCCTTCAGGAACGGTTAGGCAGCAGAGTTGCGGAAAGGATCTGGTCCGTGCCAGGCTAACGCACCCCTCCCAACGTTTCCTCTGCTTCCAGCAGCCCAGTGGAATGAGGTTGCCCATGAAAGGGGCCCATCCTCACAATCAAGGCAGCGGATGCGGTTGTGCCAGTAATGGAGCCGCGAGGCAGCCCGCCGGCAACAGGGGGTACCACCCGCACAGCCGCAACATCTGGAGAAGAAAGAAGTACAGGGACAGTTTCCCCATTAGCCTTAGCAGATAATGGCCGGCGTCAAGACGTCCCCTTGAGCCCGAGGCGGCGTGCGCGAGACGGGTCTGCTGGGACTTGAGGCCAGCACCTGAACGCGGCGGCTTGTGGATGTTGCCAGAGATCTGCACCCAACCTTTGCATGTTTCTTTGTGTGGTGGTGGAGTCCATCTTAGAAGAAATAATTGTGCTTATCTGTGAAGCCTTATTCAATGTGGAAGTTTGTCTTCTGCCTATCCATGATTACTACAGTGCCGAAGCAGCTCTGGCAGGAATGCGGCAAGGACCATAAAGGCTGTGGGTCTTGGCCATAGCTGCGTTTGTTTATTGGGGGTTTGTTTTCGTCAGGAAAGTACTGATGGTTTGGACTTTCCTTTCTGTTGTAGCCAGTCTTCGTGACTTTGCTCACTGCCTTCCCATTTCTTGTTTAAACCTTTGTGTTGCCCCACTCATACCGAACATAACTTTTGTGCAATAACTCGGAATGTTTTTATCATATTTCCTTGTAAGTTGTATTTAAGGGATGGGAGGGTATGTGTATTTTTGTTTTGTTTTTTGGCTTTTACCAGTCCTTTCCCAGGTTGCATTTTCTAAGTTGGGTTCATGATTCTGGTGGGTTATCTGAGCTAAGTATTCCACTCATCACATCGGTAATATTGGAGGCTTCTTAATTCGCACGGGAACTGCTGATCTGGCTCACGAGTTTATAGGAAGTATGGAGCTACAAGGCATTTTTACCCTTCCATTTAGCTCATTAGTCGGCATGCACACTAATCTAAATGTAGCTAATGGGTTAGGGCACAATCCATGCTCTTGTGCGGCTCACCTTCATCTCAGTGGAGATCATGCAGAGAATTCGAAACCTTCAATGTATTCATTAGGGCTGGATGAATATCAGAGTAGCAATCCAGTCTTCTAGGGCAAACATGAATAACTTCGACTTCTAAACTGCAAACTACAGATGCTTTTCGTCGGTTTTATTTACCCTCTGGTTGGGTCCAAGCCCTGTTGCTGAACGACGTATCCAACTTAAGGAATGTGGAGAAAGGAATGTATATTGATTCCATTCAGGAATCTGATTACAGCGTGCATTAGTTCTGTTTAGAGCAACTACCTGAAATGTACCTTCTGGCTTCTCTATGCTTTTTTTAAAGTATCGGTCTGTTGTCCTGCAAAAGAGCACAGTCCAGTGCTGCCCACAGTCCATGGGGCAGGCAGTTGCTTTAACGATGCTTACAGGTACTATGCAAGTGTATCTCACCATGGCAGTCCCTGTTAACTTTTCTAAAGCGAGAAATATGCATCCTGCCAAGCCCTGGGTTTTTAAAAAGCGCCACGCTCTCATCGCCACCGGCTGCATTGTCCCTGTTTTCTCCCCCTCCCCTTTTTTTAAATGAGCCTTCTTAAATCCTCAAAGCACTATGTTAGTAGTTCTGCTTGCAGAGGGAACTGAGAAGCGAACATATTGCTGTGACAGCTCCGTGATACAGAGAAGTGAATGTTCCTAAAACTGGTATTTGACTGTTTGACACAGAATGATCCTTCGAATTGTGAGCTTTAGTATCTGCAGCGATGCCTTGGAAGCTGTAGGGGAACATAAAAAAGGAGGCGGTCGAGATGAACGCAAGGCCTTCGGGTAGTGAGGAAAGAGTGCAGTCTTCCGATGTTGAGTAGCACACCTTCTGTCTTCAGGTGTTGATCTAGTGTGAACCCCAATTAAAACTTTTAGTTTTTTATTGATTGATACAATATTATTGATCATAAGCTACTCAGAAAGATGGGTGTGGCTGACTGTACCAGTGTCTGTTGGGGAAGATAGGCAACGTTGGCAAGTCAAGGGCAGACGCGAATACAGCGGAGGCTTTGCAAAGGCACGTGGTGAGAACCGGACATCCTGCAGATACGGATTCCTCCAGAAGTAATGCATCCAGTCTGGGACCAGGGATCCTCACGTAAGCCTCAGCTTTTTTGCCTCCTCCCACGGTAGCCGGCTCAGCCCCACTCCAAAGCTTTGTATGTTTGTCCTCCCCAAAGTAGAATTTGCTGCATTTCAGACCAGAAGATTTTGCATCCCCTCTCGCACCCACGCTCCTTGGGTCCTGTCCCTGAATGATAATAGCTGTTACTCCAGGTCAGTGATGAATTTACAGTTAATAAGTAAATAGCAATCGGGTTTTGAATTTGCAAAATCTCAGCCCTGCTTGATACTGCATCTGTATCTTTGCTTTGTCTATTTTTTTAACCCTGTGAAAAGTTTTTAAATAGATGCTGGTACAATAAGGGATCTAAACTTGAATAAACCAATGTTCAAGGGCTGATTATTGACCTACGTTCATTCTTACTTGCTAGCAATATTGATTATGAACCTACATTATGGAAACCTCAGTGTCCTAAACGGTGTCCGTGTAAATGCAGGATAGGCTAAAGAGAAGCAGAGATCACGTTCCATTTCAGTCATGGTGAACCAGTTAATTGCACTGGCTTCCACTCCGGTTATGTTCTGTGCCGCTGTGGGTAGCCGATTAAGATATCATGTTCAGATTCTTTTTGTGTGTATAACAATGTGGGAAGCTAAAATACATATTTTTATGTGAAGTTTTGTATTCTTTGATTTTTAATAAATTTTCAAGGCCAGATCGGCTCGCTTGTGGTGTGAGTTAATCTGTCGTCGTGAGCTGCACCTCTCGCCGTTTTATGCCATTGTTGGTTATGATCAGACTCAAAAGTGCAGCCGGGGCAGCGTTGTGTATCCGGGAGTGGCCAGCCGGATGGCTAATAGCCATCTGCACATGGGTGGCCGTCATCTTACCCTGCAGTGAAATACATAACATCCGCTGGGTGTTTCATGAATTTGCTTGTGTGGGTTTATTTTTGCCCACGCTTCCCTTTCTGCCGGCTCAGTGTGGCTTAAATCACATGTCTTCTACTCTCTGGGCTCTGCCCCTTCGCAGAACCTCAGTTTGGGAACTGCCTTTATCTGAGAAATTTAAGCAGAGCCCTGTCTCCCTGGCCCTGGTTCCCACCTATTCCCCCAGTTACTCTGCAGCGGCCTTCGTGTTGGCCTAGCGCGGGGGTCCTCAGACTTTTTCAACAGGGGGCCAGTTGAAAGGCGGCGGATACACTTGCGGGCCGGCGAGGGGCGGGGTCTGGGTGCATGGGCTGGTGAGGCATCGGGTGTGCACAAGGTGGCGTTGGGTGCGCTGGCGGCTCGCTCACTCGCTCACTCGGCGCTCTCCCAGAGAGTCCGAAACCATCTCCGAGCGAGCAAGCCACTGCCTCCAGCGCGGGGGGTGGGGGGGGGGGCGGCGACGCAGGCCGGATGAATGGGCTTGGTGGGCAGGATCCATCCCGCGGGCCGTAGTTTGAGGACCCATGGCCTGGTGAGTAACAACTTTTGTTTCTTTGATACTGCAGTTTAGGCAAGTTTGTACTCGCCCGTGCGCGCACTCTGCTCTCCCTCGCTGCTGTTGTTGCTTGGTTTGTGGTCTTGCCATTGCCCATGCACCACTGGGCATGGTGTCCAATGCCCCCTTTTGTGAAGGAGGGCAGTGTTGCAGGAAGCCCCTGCGAGGACCCTGACTGTGCCGACCGCGGTGCTTCCATGCAGCCCGAAGTGCTTGACCCTGCCTAATCTTGGGAGCTGAGCAGGGTCGGGCCTGGATGGGACACCGGAGTCCTGCACTGACTCAGGTCGGGGGTTTGGGCTGAGGGCCGCCTTGGCCTCCTCCCACTGTCTGTGACTGCGGATGCTCATCGCCTGTGGCGGTCGATGCTCGTGCCTACCATCAAGCTGGGCTGGACACCCGGGGCCCTCCTTGCTCAGTGTGCCTGGGAGGCAGCAGAGGGACAAAGGCGACGGCCGGCCCTTGTGTGCCCCCACTTGCAGTCGGGGGGCCTCCTCAGGAGCTAGCCCTCCTCCTCGGGCCCTAGCCATCGGCTGGACCAGTCGACATCGGGGAATTCACTCGCAACGTCACAGGTATGCATCCTCCTCAGATTTTCCCATGATGGCAAGAGAAGAGCGCTCATCATTCGCCATTAAAAAATGTTCTGAGAGGTGGCAGAAGCAGTACAGTAATTAGGCAAAGTGCCATTAGAAGAGCCTTGGTCATCCACCCTGCTCTTTTTCTACCAGCAACAACCTTCGAAGTAGGTGACTGATGAAAGCATATTCCATTTTTGTTCCATGTAATATGGCTAAGAGAGGAAATGCATAAACATGATTTCCCTTAAGAAAGACAATTGCATATTGATAATCATATTTCCCTTACTCAGCACCGATCCATTAGGGCCACAAAGGATAGAAATATTTGCATAATTGCATAATTTCTAAAACTACATTTAGGGGAGTCTGAAAATTAAGAAGATACTTGTGCACGCTGGGGACCCCAAATTCTTTAAAAAATTCTGGTTAACTGCAGGCAGTCCTCCGTGCCCATGGGACCACGTCGGGATTTTGAAGGGGCAATTCATTCTAGCAAATGCTTTCGACTCTGTTACTTCTCCCTTCTTTTTGGTGCCTGTGTGAATTTGGAAGTGCCTCACCTTTTTTCCTCATGTATACATCCGCACGTATGTTTTTAATCCCAAGGGGGACTGATGTACACATGCAGATGTTTGCAAAATGCAGATCAACACACTACTTGAAGACGGTCTGGATACTTTGAAAGTTCCAGAATAGAGCTGCCAATTCAGGTATTCCCATATCACGCCAGTCCTCTGCTGGTTACACTGGCTGCCAATTGAAGTCCGGACCCAACTTAAGGTGCTGGTAATGACCTATAAGGCCCTAAACGGCTTGGGTCCTGGACACCTGAAGGAGCATCTTCTTCCCTATGTGCCAGCCCCGCCCTTGAGATCGGAGGCAGAGGCCCTTCTCCAGGAGCCCCCTTTGAAGGAAATCAGGAGGGCCGCTACTCAGAGAAGGGCCTTTTCAACGGTGGCACCTCGACTGTGGAACGCGCTCCCCAGGGAGGTCCGCCTGGCGCTGTTACTTTATTCTTTTTGGCATCAGGTGAAGACCTTTTTATTTTCCCAATATTTTAACAGTCAATTGCTTTTATCCATTTCTATCATTATTTATCGGATGCAGTGTGTTGTGTGTTGTTTTTTGTATACGGTTGCTTTGTTTTTCAGTTTTTTGCCTTTGGTAAGCCATCCAGAGACTTTTAGTATTGGGAGGGCATTTAAAAACTTTAAATAAAGAAAGACTTCATCTCCTTCCGGAAATGTACAGCAAGGCTGCAGCACCAGTCACAGGGCCTTTCTCTCTGGTCCCGCCCCACCTGCTTGTTCTACCAGTTAGCTTGATGGGGCATCTGGGGAACCCCAAAGACGATGTGCTTTTGGGGAATCAGGCTGGCCCTGAAATTTCACGAAGGACGTGCTTGCTGGAGACTGAGTGAGCCACACTTCCTTGAAGGATCCAGGATGGGGCAGATCCTTCTAACAAGAATCCACCACCTGTGAAATCTCCATGGAAAAGTTCGCTTTAATCAAGGTTCGTTTGGAAGTACATTGACTTGGCAATGTTTTCCCCCAGCTGTGGATGCCAAATTTCCCCTTTGCATGGCACAGCCTGTCTGTCTTCACCTTTTACAACGTGGTTGGGAGATTCTCCTTGTGGAAGACGTTATTTATTTATTTATTTATTTCAGATGTATGTGCTGCTAAATGGCCTAGTAAGACTCTCTAAGTGGGTAACAATATTTTATTTATTTATTTATTTATTTAAACAACTTCTATGCTGCCCGATCGCATGTGCCTCGGGGCGGCTTACAATCATTAAAATCCCATATAAAATACAAAAAAATCATCAAATAAATAAAATACAAAAAATAAAATAGTGGATCCAGACTGGTCAATTTAAACCAACAAATAAACCATTAACAGTTAAAATAAAAAGGTCTTGGCCTGGCGCTGAAGAACAAGGACGGCGCCAGGCGGACCTCTCTGAGAAGCGCGTTCCATAAGTGGGGCGCCACCGCAGAGAAGGCCCTCCTCCGAGTGCTCACCCTCCTAATATCTTTCACGGAGGGCTCCCGGAGAAGGCCTCTGCCACCGATCTCGGGGTGGGAAGGCAAATATGGAAGAAGACGTTCTTTTAGGTATCCAGGTCCCAAGCCGTTAAGGGCTTTATAGGTGATAACCATCACCTTGAATTGGGCCCGGACGTCAATGGGGAGCCAGTGGAGCTGATAGAGGACTGGGGTTATGTGAGAATAACACCCAGTCCCCGTCAGCAACCTGGCAGCTCTGTTTAGCACCATCTGAAGTATCCGGACCGTCTTCAAGGGCAGCCCCATGTAGAGCGTGTTACAGAAATCCAACCGGGAAGTGACCAATGCATATGTCACTGTTGCCAGGCAGCACATTACAATTATATTACCTTGTGAGCCGCCTACAAAGGCCTCAGCAATTATAGGCAGCCTGTACATATATGTAAATAAAATAAATAATCAGGTTTCAATTCAGCTTTTGCAAAATCTGTGAAAGAGGATGGTCTTTGCCTGATGCTGGAATGGAAGCAGTAACGGATCTCTCTAGGAAGCCCATTCCAAAGATGGGGGCAACCACCGAGAAGTCCCTTCTTCGAAATGCCATGCCTTTTACCTCTTTTAGGGATGGCTCTCTTAGAAGCACCTAAGTCTCAGATCTCGATCGGTGGGTAAGGAGAACATGGGAAAAGGTGGTCCTTCAAGTAACCAGGTCACAAGCCATTTAGGGCTTTGCAAGTTAAAGCAAGAACTTTAAACCGGGCCTGGGTGTCAACTGGCAACCAGGGCCATTTGTACAGAACCCAGACGCAGTCCTGTTGAACTTGAAGGAAAAACTCGGGCCACCTCCGAGTCAGCCGTGGGGTGGGTGGGGCAGGACAGAGCTTGCGGCTGGCCTATCGCCCCCTGCCCGCCTTCCACTTGTAGGGCCACCCCAGAGATGGAGCTTTGCACAGCTGGGAAGAGCCGTGTGCAGGTCTTTAGTCCGTGAGCATCGCCGGTCCCTCTCCGCCAGCGGAGCCGCACTCGCGCAGCCTCTGCGATCAGCGTAACTAGCCACGGGCTCTCACATCCACCGGTGCTTCCAGTGCTTGGACGAATTTGGAAGTGCCTTCTCCTTGCCTTTCTTTTTGTCCTTGAGGGAACTTCCACCTACCCTCATGCACACATTCTATTTATTACTTATTAAAGATTTTTATATGCTGTTCCTTCAGCACATTGCTCTCAGAACAGTTGGCAAGTGGTTACAAACATTAGCATAACAGTTATCCATAAAATCTGTACAAAAATGCAAAGGAATACTGAAAAGCAAACCATAACAAAGAATAAAATGAAGTAAACTGGAGCATCCGGTCATCACTTTGCTGCCCAAAGGGCAAATGCTATTTTGGGATGCATTAACAGAAGTATTACTTCCAAATCATGAGTAGTATTTCCTCTATACTCCTCACTAGTCAGACCTCACCTGGAATACTGTGTCCAGTTCTGGGCACCAAGATTGAAGAAAGATGCAGGGACATCAGAAAGAGTCCAGAGGAGGGCAACAAAAATGGTCCAGGGTTTGGAAACACTGCCCAAGAGGAGAGACTGAGAGAACTGGGCATGTTCAGCCTTGAGAAGAGAAGACTGAGGGAGGATACG